TCGAAAGGTAATGAAGAGAGAATAAGTTGGACAACTTTCGCTGCGGCGAGGGGGCGTACATGACGACAAAAAGTTTCATAGTGTCAGTTGTCTAAAGTGTTTAGTTCAGTTTTATTGAGGCAAAGGTAGGCGAATGCCTTTGGTTACAATAACATCATGAAAAATCAACATATAAGGTAAGCGTGAGGGAAAATTAGGTAAGCGATTACATACAACAAGCATTGATAACTCGTGTAAATGCGTCTACAAATGCGCGCTGTGTCGAAATTGTACAATAATCGGTACGCGGCACTGAAGTGGACCAAGTAATATCGAAACAAACGTTAGTACCGGCTCCAAACGCGTGCGTGCGTCTGGACCGCAACAAATCCCTGAGGGGTGCAGCGTTAATTGGCTTCGGGTCCTCGCTACGCCGGCGTGGAGTCATGCGCGGCTCAAGCAGCGAACTGACGGGGCAGCTAGACCGATCGAAGGCGGCATGGGTAAGCGACCACGTTGGCGATCGTGAGCAGGTTCCCACAGGTTCAGCAGACGGCCACCAGTCATGCGTACGACACTGTTTCTACCTGAAAGTTGGATCGGTCTCAACGCGCCAAGCGTGTCCAGCGCACAATTCGACTCAAGTACCTGAGTGCCTGAGACCCGTTCTTATCACTTAAAATCCTTCAAGGACGGTTTGTGTGGAAAAGATTTGATGCTTCCTCTTGATTTTGTCATAATATCCAGGCTTTCGTGATGTTGATGAGCGTTGTCGGGACGGTAGCTTTGGAAATCCTGGATCCCGTTCTGAGGTCGACACGGTAATTTCAGGCTTTGTCTTATAACTTGCCAAAGACCTGGTTAACTTGAGGAATTCAGACGGCAAACTCGTCAATTTGATTGTCAGGCAAGGAGACTTGTATATCACTACCAGACGATTACTGCTGATAGTTACCGTGGGTCCGACACATTGGGCAGTTAACGCCGTTTTGCCATGACAACTGCCTTCTGCATGTTGATGGTTATTTCAAGATTGACTCATCCGGAAGTTCGGATTGGTACTGGTATCCACGTGAGGCAATCGATTCATTTCTTTTTCGTGGTTGAAGACACGTCCCAAGTGTTCGGCCCAACAATTTGGGATCTACCATTTCCCATCAGTAGGTCTGCATCATTTGAGCCGGACAGTGACGCATTTCCGAAGGTTTTGGAGCCGTAAACTGCCTGAATGATCACAAATTTTTTTTTCATTTCACGCCGACCTGAGTATCTATATGTCATCTTTCCTAGCCAGCGGCCGGTCATTTTG